GGTGCGGGCGGCCCCGCTGAGCCGCCCGCCCGGCAGATCATCCGCAAGGTGAGCAAGCAGTGTGCCATGCTGGACGTGGACGAGCCCATCTCGCAGCTGCACAAGTGCGCCTTCCAGCTGCAGGGCTCCGACCGCATGTACCTGTGCCTCTCCACGGAGAAGGTGATCCAGTTCCAGGTATGGGCGCGCTCTGCTCCCGCTGCTCCCTGGCCAGCGCGTTTCCCAGAGGGAGGAGGTCTCCTGCAGAGAGAAATGGCCTCCAAATTAAGCTAAGAGCCACTGCATGCATCCATCAACCTCCACCCTCCCTGTTTCTGGGGGGGCTTTGCCACCAAGGAGCTCAGGGGGCTTGGCAAGAGTTACTGCTGCAAGCAAGGTGCCAGGGCAGGGCCCAGGCGTCCGGGCTGCCAGCTCTGCTGGCCCCACTGCAATCCGCTGGGGGCCCTGCAGGCCTCCCCCTGCCCCAAGGAAGCCAACCGGGAGCTGCTGAACGACGGCTCGTGCTGGACCATCATCGGCACCGAGACAGTGGAGTACACGTTCAGCGAGAGCCTGGCCTGCGCCCGCGAGCCCGTCAGCCCCGTCCCGCTCATCACCGCCCTGCAGGTAGGCAGGGACCACATCCCAGGGCATCCCAGGGCATCCCGGGAGCATCCTGGCGCCCCGGACCACGGGCCGCGCGTGCCACCCCCGTGACGCTCTGCTGATCGCAGCTGACGGGCGGTGGGGACGTGGCCATGCTGGAGGTGCAGGGCGAGTATTTCCACACACACCTGAAGGTCTGGTTCGGAGATGTGGAAGCAGAGACGATGTTCAGGTAAACTGGAAGCGGTGGCTGGAAAGCAGCCCATGAACCAAAGCCGGGTTTGGGGACAGGCTGAGGGTGGCAGCGCTTGCAGGCTGTGCTGGTGGCTCTGGGAGCAGGGGTTGCTCCTGGTGGGGACAGGCCTCCATAGAGCTGTGGTCACCAATAGTGGTGGCTGGAGGAGGCAGAGGGGCCTCAGAGGGTAGAAACTGGGTGAGCAACCAGCAGGGAAGACCAAAACACCAGGAAGGGGCTGAGACACCAGCCAGGGGCTCCCCAAGCCCCAAAGCCAAGTCCAGGTGATGCACCAGACCTCGTTGCTGTGTGCAGGGCTGCATGGAGGCTCCTCCTAGATTAATGCTCATTCTCCTCCCCTGTGCCATTCCCAGGAGCCCCAAATCCCTGGTGTGCGTCGTCCCCGATGTCTCTGCCTTTGGCAGTGACTGGAGGTGGCTGCGATATCCCATCACCGTCCCGCTCCTGCTGATCAGGGACGATGGGCTCATCTACTCCAGCTCCTTCACATTCACCTACACCCCGGAGCAGAGCTTCCTCCCAGGGCAGCCGATCCTCTCAGATGTCCCACAGGACTCGGACAAGTTACTCGACAGCATCCACCAGGAGTTCACCAGGACCAACTTTCACCTCTTCATGCAGAGCTAGCGAGCGGCTGCCCCTGGCACAGGGCAGCCTGGGGAAGCGGAGAGGATCCCTGGATCCCCACGTGCGGCTCAGCAGGCTCAGGGGGGTCCCTGGTCCTCGCTGTTCATTGAGCACACGTTAGTCTAATTTGCTAATCGCCTGTTTTAATGACAGCAACTCTCACTGGGGAAATCTCATGGCGGAGCATCAATAAACGATGCTTCAAGGACTCTCAGCTGACTCAAGTGCTTTTTACTACTCTTCAAGATTTGCTCTCGAGGTCCTTGGCCCAGATATTCAAAGTCCAGGAGGGACAGAGGAGATGAACAAATGTGGCTATTGATTTGTACCAGGAATCCCTGCCCCACTTCCCTGCTTTTCAGGAAGGAGGAGCTGATTTCCAGCAGCCAAACATCCAGCACCAGAGAGATTTTCTTTTGTTTTCTTTAGAGGCCCAAACGGGGTTATTTCAAAAAGCAAATGAGAGAGAGAAACTTCAGTGTGAAACCTGGCCCATCCCTGGCTCTTGTGGCTCTGCTGACCTCAGTTATTCCTCACAGACACAGACACACTCTGCGATGCCTGCACCAGTATCAAGCGGGTGGTTTAAAGGTGCCATAAAAAGAAACTCGTTTTCTTGGAGCTGAACCCAAGCGCTCTGCAAAGTGGGTCTGGCAGAGCTATTTAGCACCTTCGGCCCTCCGGGGCATCAAAAGGGCCACAGTGTGCCTTGAAAACCGGCTGTTCTGGCATTTGGGAGGTCAATTTAGACACCACCAAGGTGCTGAAACCACAGAGGTTTTTAAGCACCGCCGAGCCCCAGTGACAGGGGGGAGCGCGGTGCCCTGCTCGTCTGCCCACCTGCATGTCCAACGACCACGTTGCATCCCCGGAGTCATAACCCAGGGCTTTCCTGGGAGACTCCGCTCCTCGACTCCACCAGGCGCCCTGGGACTGGGCACCTTCCTGCCAAGCCCAGGAGCTGCAGCGCAGGGCTCACGGCATTGCCTGAGGCACCACATCTGCAGGGAGCTGCCGATCCTGGAGCTGCCAGCGAGGGGAAAAGATTAGAAACACCAGAACTGAAGTGATGCCCTTTGCACTGCGGTCCCTTGCCCATCTCCTCCAGGACTCAGTGGGGGACAGCGAAAGGACGGGGCCACCCTGCCAGGCTCCTCTCCCACCTCCTGCAGGAGGAGCGGCTGCCACAAGGCAGCTCCCGGAGCCGTTTCCCATCCCCTTGCTGCATAATTCACGTTATGAATGGAAGCACCTCCTGCTATATTTACCCGCAGCCCTTTCCCCGGGGCAGGAGCCGCATTTCGCAGCGGTCCGGGGCTCCGAACAAGGCCCTGTTGTTCTGCTGGCGGCGCAGTGCTCTGCCGGAGAGGCCGGGAAGCGCCGAGCGACTCGCTCGTTGGGCCCGGTGGACTGAGCAAACACGGGCAGTGACTCAAGCCACCTGGGACCTGGCCCCACGCAGGGCTGCCCCTCGCCCCTGCCCTCCCGCCTGCACTAGGGACTTCTGCTTCTCACAGCGGGACCCAAACGTAGAGGTGGCTCTCGCAGGGGGGCAGACGCTCCGTGTCTTGGTAGATCCGCCAGCATCCTCAGAAACACCAACACCTGCATCCAGCAGCTCATCCCCTTCACACGCGGGGCTCGCCAGACCAAGCTGCTGTTAGAACAGCGGGAGCACAGGAAATA